CTCTGATTTATTTGGCCTTGCAATATTTTGGTTGTAAGCTTCAAAGTGGTGTTTAATAAGTTGATACCTCTGTAGTTTTCAGGTTGTTTTTTATCTCCTTTTTTGTATAGTAGGATAAGCTCGCTTTTCAGGTATTCAGGTAAAATACCTCTTCAGGTATTTTATTATGTTTGATGATTTTGTTAATTAGTGCTGTTAGCTGTTCTGTTAATGCTTCTCCACCATATTTCAATAATTCATTTGGAATTCCATCTTTACCTGCAGCTTTTCTGTTCTTCAGTTTTTCTAAAGTTTGTTTTACTTCTTGTACGGTTATCTCGACTTCCTCGTTTGTAATGATTTCTGGGTTCAACATCATTTGCTGTTCGTCATTATAAAGCTTCTTTAGGTATTCAATCCATGTGTCATCTATGTGTTTCGGTTCGATTAAGTCTTTCATCTCTGATCTTTGGCCTCTTATGAAACGCCATATTTCCTTTTGTAGACCGTAAAAGTCGTGTTCCATTTCTTTTGAGAAGCGTTCCCAGTGTTCGTTTTTAATTTTTCTTACTAGTGCTATTGTTTCGTTTTTTATCTTTTTGTAATTGTTGTATTCTTGTGGTGTTTTGTTAGACATGTATCTTAAATAAGCTTTCTTTTTTTCTTTGCATTTTTCTTTCACTTCTGAGTAGAACCACGGAGTTTTCCGCTTTTGGAAATATTTAATTTTAAGAATTTTCCTTTCTCCTACAGCTTCTTTTGCTGAATCTAGGATGCTTGCTTTAATTTTCGCCCAGCTTTCTTCGATTCCATCACTTTCTACGATGTGCACGTTGTCGAGTTTATCTTTGACTCTCTTTTGGTATAGAAGTTTTGTTGATTCGTTCTGCAGACTCTCGACTTTTACCTTTGTGGTGTATTCTTCTTTTTTATTTTTATTGTTTTTATTGTTACATATGCGTGTCGTCATTCTGATTTTTCCAAGTATAAGCTTATGGTCGCTTCATATTTATGCAGATGTTAGTGCTCTTATGTCCAATACTTGAGAGGGATGTATTACCCTGTTCGTCAGGATGTAGTCTATCATTGACCTTTGACCTCTTGTATTTTCGAATGTGTATTTGTATTGTTCCTTATGAGGGAAAAAAGTGTTGTTGATGCGTAGTTCATTCGTGCTACATAGGTCCGTGAGGAGATCTCCAATAATAGATAGTAGATAACAATAACCGAACAATACTCGAAAACAATGAAATTGGTAAGCATTAGAATGAATGCATAGAACTGTTTTACACAGCAGATTCCCAGATATTTCAACAAAGAACATCTAGAAGAAGCACCTGATATAGCAACTTAAAGTCACCATAACAGTTACAAATAGCAGGGGTACAAAGATATATATTAAAACTAATTAACGAAGGACAAGTTCCGATGACAACCTGCAGTGGATGTCACTTTTGTAATTTGTTTGGCTGTTTCTTATAGGTGTCTGGATGGCTTCTAATATCGACGCCAAATAATTAAAAGATGATTTGGTTTATTATTTTCCCTTTGTTTGGACCTGATTGATTCTTTGAATATACTTTTATATTCCGCTTGGTCTGTTGATGTTGTCATTTGGTATTATGGTCATATTTTGTTAAATGTGTACAGTATTCTCTGTAGATCATCTTCTCTACTCGGCAGCAATACAGCATCGTCTACGTAGACTGTGATGTTGTATCTCTACTCTACCTATTTATACCCAGTTAGTGGTTTTACACTTAGAATTATATGTCTTTGGAATTTGGAATTATTAGTCCCTATCATCTTGGAAAATTCATTTTTCTCTAACTATATTTAATACGTCGCATAGATGTATCTTATCAAATGCTTTGGTTAGATCCTCGAAGCATAAAATGCATTGATATTAATTTTGAAGTATATTTCATAGAGTACATTAAACAGACTGATACCTCTGTAGTTGTAAAATTATCTGATCTTAATTAGCAAGTTTTAATTATAACTGACATTGCAATTGCCGTTACCTTGGCTTAAAGTATATCTAAAAGACACACTTTAAGATAATTTCCTTTAGGTACTAATGCAGATAACTATTAATTTAGCAACTGTTATATAATTTGCATGTGAACATGTACTAACCTTTCCAACTAATTATCATTTCCCGTAAGTATTATAACAAAATAGGCTGCTATTATTGCGCTTTAAGAATATAATATTGAAAGAAACATGGCAAGTACTCTGCTCCGTTAAGGTACTAGACAGTAGGTGCAAGTAACATGGAAAGGAGGTATTAACATTTTTGGCTTTGGATTTTTTAATTAATGGCTTTGGATAACTTGATCCATTCAGCCACGATAATGTAGTTGACTACTTGAATTTGTTAATGATGCATTCACCTATTGCATTTGTTAATAAAATATGACCCTTGTTTATGTAAAATAATAATATAAACTTATAAAAAGCAACAATTCGCAACAATAGTGAAGTGAGTATCTTCGTAATTTAAAAAGTTTTGATATTGGATATTTAAAATAAAATGTTTTATCAGAAATTGGTTATTACCAATGTATTAAACAAAGTTCAAACGTATTTTAGCATTAATTAAACAACATGATTAATAGTTTTCAATCATTAACCAAATGACTGATAATAGGAGTATAAAAAATAAACATTTGAATTATGCTTTTAAATTTTACTTCCATACTTGATAATCAGGTGGTCAAGGTTGAGGATAAAAGCAAATGAAAAATACGTAAAATGATTTCGATTTATTATTTAATAATACAGTGTAAACGTCAGCAATAACACCAGCTACTAACAGTGTGGAAAATTATCTAAATTGTCGTACCTTTGGATTATACAGTGCTTTTCAGATAAAACTATCCACCTTAAATAACTTTTGAACTTCTAAATTTTAGGAAAAACGCAAAAACACGTCAATTAATATTTGAAGGGGTAGACATTATATCATATTTAAGGTTGCTGGGAAATGCACCCTTTCACCCCTCGTACCTATCATCCCTTCATTTTTTTAAAATTACTTCCCCCTTTTTTTATTCGATATTTGGATTCTCCTCTTTGTACTGATTTCAGAAATGTATAATACATGATGCTTGAAGTGATTACTTTATGAGAAAAATAGATACAAAAGCAAGAAAATTGGATTGAAAAAAAAATTATTTTTTAACAATTTTATTACACACATTTAGAATGAACATTTCACTGCTAAAAATTTTGACAATAATTGTTCAAAATGACTGCCCTTCACTTCCATACAATAGTATAATCTATTTTGAAATTCTTCTCTGACATTGCCTAACACGTCTGCATTTAAGTGTCGACATTCATCCTCTATTCTTTGTCGTATATCATCTAGAGATTCTGGTTGAGTAGCATAAATTTTTGTTTTTAAATACCCTTGATAGAAGAAGTCTAGGGGTGTTCAATCCGGTGATCTAGGTGGTTAATCGATCATCTATCGACTTTACCCTATCCAAGGACCAAGAAACGTTTCGTTTAAAAATTATCAGACAGGTAAAGCAAAGTGTAGAGAAGCTCCATCATGTTGAAATACAACCAAATCTTCGGAAAAGTTATCCTTAACCTTTCTTTTTCTTTTTGTGCCACTCCTATCAGAGATTGGAAATCATCAAGGCTATTCTGACCTTGTTTACGGCTGACCTAAAGAGTTCATTAGTGGTGCAGCCAAACCACTCTCTCAAATTCCGCAACCATGACATTCTTCTACGGCCTGGATTCCGTTTTCCTTCTATTTTTCCCTGCATTATATTTTGAAGTAATGCGTATTTATGTCCTCTCATCAGGTGACCAAAATATTCGACCTTAACCTTTGATAAAACTTTATTAAAAAGTGAATTTTTTATTTCTTGGTTTTTGAAGGTATTACAAATACTAAGGTTAAATATTTAAAAAGTTAAAATTATGCTACAACCTATTTTGTTACAGTCATTTAAGGTGAGGGAGATACTATCCTTATTAACAGGAAAATTGTCTATCTCATAAACTAATCACTTCAAGCCAAAGGTATTATACATTTTTGAAATCAACACAAAAAGGAGAATCCAAATATAAAATAAAAAAGGGGGGAAGTAATTAAAAAAAATAAAGGGTTGATACAGGGGTTGAAAGGGTGCATTTCCCAGCAACCTTAAATATGATATAATGTCTCCCCCTTCAAATATTATTGACGTGTTCTTGCGTTTTTCCAAAAAAATAGAGGTTCAAAAGTTATTTAAGGTGGATAGTTTTATCTGAAAAGCACTGTATTGATGATTATAGTGCTATCTGATTTTGCTTTTAAGGCGTCTGCTAAATTCTTGTATCGATTGTGACATACGGTTTCGCCATTCTTGCTGATTGCTAATACATGCGCTGCTTTTTCGCTGTCTTACATACTTTACCTATTAAGAGCGTAGGCGCAAAATTTCGGGCCAATGCTTTTTAAATGCATTATTTTTTTTCGAATCCTGAGAAAACTAATAAGTATTTTTAAAAATTTTAAACGCAGAATGAAAGATCCCATTATCACCGAGGGCCAGTAAAATTGCCTCCAATAGTAGATAGCTATTTTTCGTAATAAATTTAAACCAGTAACAACTTCTCTTCGTATATTGGCCATGATTGTTCTATGTTAGTTGTTTGTCCAATATCATTTCCAAAATCTTTATACCGTCTACAAAATCTAAGAAATTTTCTTTAAGCTGTAGCTTAAAGAGTGTCGAGAGACTATATTTTCTTGGACACAACAGTCACTTCGTTATAGATTTGGAGAATTTCAATATGTTCGACCGATTATTTAGAACATTTCAGCTATGTTGACTGTTTCTGAACTGGTAGAATATAATCGCCCTTTAACTATTTGTAAATTGCTGTTTAGAATGTCGTTAATAGCTATCAAAATAAAGTTTCAGTTATCGTTGACCCTTAGGGGAATACCTCATTTCTGCATTCAATACATTCTTGCATTCAGAAATTTAACAAATGTTTTTTATACATTTCAGACCAAGGTAGCATCCCGTTCTGGTTCTCAACACAGCTTGGACGAAGCCGGCAGGTCGCGCTCAGGTTCCACAGTTACGAGTCCAACAATTCCAGAAGATAAACCATTGGCGTAGGACACTAAATTTCTACTTAAATATCAAACGATCACATAAAACAGTACGCCAGCCGATATGCCTTGATAAAAAGCTTGTCCAAGAAAATACACATGCGTTTGATTTATTTAATACCTAGTTGTTACTATTTTCATCGCCAATTCTATACCTATTTTATTGCCTTTGCTCGGAGGTTTATGTAATGTTATATTCTAGTTTTATTAAGGGGTCAAATTGCATCTTGGGTATTTAAATTGGCCTAAACTAGTAATTCTACAAAACTAATGTAAAGCGCCATCACACTAGGTTGTCTTGGTAACGTGTTCAGTAGCTTCGCAGTAATGTCACAATGTGTGACGTAATATGTGCAAGAGAAGGCATGCCAAATTTGACAGCACCAAAATAGCGTTGCTGTGAATCTCTTTATAGCTTTCTACGTGTGTCTAACATAGTTTAACAAATTAAAATCATATAAAAATGATAAGAAAAATTATATAAAATGATACGAATATTAGATACTCATTTCAAAATCCTGATCAAAACAAAAGAGAAATTTATTAAATAAATTAACTTAATAATAAACTTACTTGTTTAATAAGAAATTTATTAAACAATTTAAGTTATTATAAATTACGTCAGCATTCATAACATTCTAAATGGAAGGAAGGGATGCCAACACTGTTAGTGGCTCCGTTTAGACAAACATCTAGGACGGTTGCTAGTGTATTTTATGTGCACTATGGAACATATTGCTTTTTGTGTTCAGATTGGCCGAACGCCTGGTCACGCTGCTGTAGCAGCCTAGTGTTATAAATATATAAAGTATCACATGTAAAATTTTATTAATAAAAATGTGGAAAATAAAAAAAACTATGATTTTTCTTACGTTTGGTTCCTTTGAAGTGCAGATCTATCAGTGTCACATTTTTATTAAGCAAAATATACCATCAAGTTGAAAAAGAAACTTGATGTCTCATTATCATTTCAGTTTTTAGCTTTTTATAACCAACTCAACTTTTATTTTCGGTTGTTTAACGGCGTTTTATTAAGAAAACTTACAAAATTCCGTTTTTAACCTCCAAAATTTCGCTTATTTTTCACTTTCGCTTATTTCACTTAATTTTAATATGACAATATGTTCGATAAAGAATATCTGTTATGTGGGGAGTCGGTCGTGTTCTCCTTCATCATTGAGTTCAATTTTCATTTTGCATCGATTTTACATAAATATTTCATTTCACTTTTTTTCATTTATTCTTTTAATCCTGTTGTGGTTTACTATTCTGTTTTTAATATTTTGTGTTAAGGATATTTTATTTACTTTCTTACCGATGAATTTATGCCCAGATTTTTTTATATCAGTATAGCTATGTTGATTTACTTTCTTCTTATTATTTTCTTAACCATAAAATTGAATTCATTGGACTTTGGAATTTTGGCTACCTGGACTACAGCACTTGTACAATTTTTCTCCGATATCTTAGTGGCGTAATCATTCATAATGGCGGGTGGGCGCCATTTTATAAAATTTTTTCAAATTAGATCATATAGCAAGTAAAACCCTTTAAAAGCTCTTGTATCATTCGGCATGTTCCTAGATATTTGTATAATTCTGTCTCGAAGATAATTTGGTAGTATTCAGCTTTTATGAAAATTGCTTCAACTGGTCAATGTATTTTCCAGTTTTCCACACACTTCATTCGACGTGTCTTTTAAATTATGTTGCGAAGTTGCAAAGTTTTTGGAAGCATAGCTTTCTTATCGCGAGTTACGGACGGAGAGGTTCACCGCCGTTGATTGCACTGAAAAGTGTGAACAAAATAAAAACGACTGTAGCTGCTGTAAAGACATATCGCGCGAAGACACTACCACCCATGTGTGTTTATTAATAATATTAAAATAAAATCGATTGCAATCGAATCAAATCGAAACGAATTAAATAAATTTAAAAAATGCGCTCCGTGCATAGAGGATAAGAAAGCTATGCTTTCCCTTCTCGGTCACTCCCGGAGTGACATCCCATTTTTTTTTCTATAACACATAAATGGTAAGAGTTTTCAAAGGTGTATCACATGCTAATATTTTCATTTATCAAAAATGGCTATGACGTCATATTTTTGACAAACATGAATAAAAAAAATATTGTATCGGAAATGGGAAACTGGAGTAATACGTTCGACCTGTTTCAGCGTTTTCCATATTGCCGCCATCGAACAATGAACGGTCGTCATTTTGAGACAGCGTGAACAAAATAAAAATATATTAGTTTACTGAGTTCACAATAGCTTTCAAATGAGATATGACTTACCATATGATCCCATGTCATTTTGAATTATTAGGTCACTAAAAAGTCATGGAAAAAAGTACAGATATCTTAGTTCACTTATCCAAAAATTTAATAAAATTGTATGGTTCCAAAACTTTACATTTGCCTTCATAACTGCTCAGACGTGTATCTGTAGAGTAGGGGGGCGAGTTAAGTTCCACAGCACTTAGGCCACAATTGTCCCATTGTGCATCCTCCCAAGGAGTTGTCGTCCTTAGCCCATTGCCCATCTTGCCAGGTATAGGAAGGTGGACAAGTCATTAGGAAGTCCGTATGTGGACCAGGACTCGCCGAAGCGTATTTCCTAGTCATTCCCAAGTACTTCTTTGATGTCGACTTTTCAAGGTTACTTAGTGTTACCTTGGCAAGTCAACATCCTTGCCCTTCTTCTCATCTTTTTACGGTTTGCATATGGGAATGACATTTAACAATTTCCGCGATTTTTGTAGTTGACCAGCCAAAAAGATCCCCAGGTCATGCAATAGGCATTTGCCACGTTCGTCTTTCTTCGGTTTTGTAGGGTTTTTCAAAGACATACTTTGGTTTAATTACGTCGCAGCCTGCAGCGCATCCAGCTCTCCCCGCCAGAAACGAGTTCTCAGTTGTCCCCCTCCTACATCAAGGTTTGCGACAGCTGAGCGCAGTCGCATCATTGTCACCAGCGTCACCTCTTTGACATATATGTCTAGAGGAGTGATGCCAATGACAAAATCCATTGCAGCAGTTGGTGTTATTTTCATGGCACCTGTTATATTTATGCAAGCCATCCGTTGAATATGGTTCAGTTTGTGTATCGCTGTTGCCTGTAGCACTTTTGGTACCCAAATAATAGCTCCGTAAGTTAGCATTGGCCTATCAGGCGTGTATCTTTAAGACATTGTTCAATACCAAAGATCAATTGGATCCCTTTTTATTCGGTGAAGTATTTTTAGTTACGCATTTATTAATATAATTGTAAAAGGTTTATTTATTATATTTAACTATTGTGGGTTGCTAAAATATACACGGTAAATGTAAATTATACATTTGTATTCTATGTTAAATAAAGCAACATCTAAATCGAAAATATTTTCTGTCATAAAAAAAAAAACTTGTTTACACCGGTTTGTCATTAGATTGGACATCACATAACAAACTTCACTGGCAGAAGGTCCGCGAAAAGACATTTTCTACTCGAGTTATTGGAATCCACTGACCGGAGAAATTGGAAGCTCACGTTCATTCTGTGGTGTATCTGAGATGTGTTAGTTCATCAGCGTTGACTGATTTCTTCAACGCAGCATATAATACTGGCATAATTCTAAACAACTCACTGGAGCCCACCTTTATTTCTCTGCGAAATGAAGTGAATCCTAACGAGTATCGAAATAAGAAATCAGATTAATAATAAATGTTCAAGTAAAATAAACAAGGAAAACAATTCCTGTAGCTGGCTGTATACCACGTATCACAAAAAAGAGGTTAGTCTTCGTAAATGGGTATATTTATTTAAAAACCCTTAAAAGGGCTACATCAAAAAAACAAACGTTTTCGGACTGAACAGTCCATCATCAGGTTTAAAATTGCCTAAAATAAGTATAAACCATTTAGTTAAAGCAAACGTGTTTTTTTTTAAATTTTGACTAGGGTTAAAAAGCAAAAATGGTTATACTTACTAGGTTAAAATGCCTGAGCCACCAAAATACCAGGGTAAAAACCCTTTAAATTACATGTAGTTATTAAAGATTGTACATATTGTTGTTATAAAACTGTGATGTTAAATATTAAATTGAATTTGGCTTCCGGTAACATGCTTGAAGTGAGTTCCAGTGTCCGGAGAGTATTATAGGTGAGAGTATTACACCCTACATTATCCTATATTATAGATGAGAGTATTATACCCTACATTAATAAATAAAAAGTTTTTAAATCCCAACACCTGGATGGCTGTTAGTATTTTTAATATCATTGAAAATATTTTTTGAATCTTTTGGCTGCAGTAATACTATGTATAACTAATCATCATTTTGTTTTCGACACCATTCATAGGTATCTTGTCAATCAGTTACCAGCTGTAGTCCGTTTAAAGAGGTTTACACTCCGGACACTGGAACTCACTTCAAGCATGTTACCTGAAGTCAAATTCAATTTAATATTTAACATCAGTTTTATAACAACAATATGTACAATCTTTAATCTTCTTCTTTAAGTTCCATCTTCTATCGACGGTTGGAAATCATCATGGCTATGCGGACTCTGTTGACTGCCGCTCTAAAAAGTTCTGCACTACTGCATTCAAACCATTCCCTCAAGTTCTTAAGCCAGGATATTCTTCGTCTTCCCACATTTCGCTTTCCTCGGATTTTGCCCTGCATAATAAGTTGTAATAATGCGTATTTTTGCCCTCTCATCACATGTCCCAAGTACTCAAGTTTTCGTCTTTTAATAGTTAATATTATTTCCGCCTCATTTCCTATCCTTCTAGTTACTTCCATGTTTGACATTCTTTGAGTCCATGATATTCGTAGGATTCTTCTGTAACACCAAAATTCAAAGGCGGCCAACTTATTCAGATGAACTTGTTTTAGTGTCCAAGCTTCCAGACCATAAAGAAGAGTAGAGAACACGTAACATCGAAGCATTCTCAGGCGTAGTTCTAACCTTATATCCCGACAACAAAGAAACTTTTTAAGTTTAATAAATGATGTACGTGCTATTTCAATACGTGTCTTAATTTCTTTGGTTTGGTCTACATCTGATGTTATCCATGTTCCTAAGTATTTATAGTTATTAACACTCTCAATTGCAGTATCTTCAATAGTCAATTGGATATTTGCATGTGCAGATTTAGTCATGATCATGCATTTAGTTTTCTTTAAATTTATCTTCAGTCCGTACTCATGACAGCGTTCATTAAGGCGTTGCATTACGTTCTGTAAATCATTGTTGTTATCCGTAATTATTACTGTATCGTCTGCAAAACGTAAGTTATTCAAAACTTCTCCATTGATAGATATACCTTCTATTGAGTCTGAGAGCGCTTCTTGAAATACCGCTTCACTGTAGACATTGAAAAGTAGTGGGGACAGCACGCAACCCTGGCGGACTCCTCTCTGTATTTTGATATTTTCGGTGTACTGGCTGTCAACTCTTACCTTGGCAGTTTGATTCCAATATAAATTAGATATAATTTTCAGATCACGACTGTCAATATTTTTGCTTTTTAATATATCTACAAGCTTTTTATGTTGAACTTTATCAAATGCCTTTTCAAAGTCTACAAAACATAAGTACATATCCTGATTCATGTCCATGCATCTCTGAGCCAGCACATTCAAGCCGAACAAAGCATCTCTTGTACTCATACCATTTCTAAAGCCAAATTGTGTGTCACTAATCTCATATTCAAGAGTTTTAACAATTCTGCTGTGAATTATTTTCAAAAATGTTTTAAGTGTGTGACTCATTAAAGCTATTGTTCTGTGGTCTGAGCAAGTTGTTGAACTTGGTTTTTTGGGAATTGCTACAAAGGTTGATTGCAGCCATTGTCTGGGGATTGTGGGCAGTCTGATATATTAGATTAAAGAGTTCAACCATTACATCAATAACATCTTCATCGATGAGTTTTAATAATTCGATGGGCACCTCATCTGGTCCAGTGGCTTTAACCCTCTTTTGTGTTTTTGATGGCATAGATGACTTCTTCTCTTAATATTGGTGGTCCAGTATCTTCGGTGATTTCTAATGACAGTTCTTCTCTTTCATCATTAAATAGTTGTTGAATGTAATTGGTCCAGTGACATAATCTCTCCTTCATATCAGTAATAATATTCCCTTTATCATTTTTAAGGATATTCGTTTTTGTACGCTTTCTAGAACCTGTCATTTCTTTGATTTTTTTGTGTAAATTAAAGCTGTCGTACTTTTTATCCAGATCTTCTATTTCCTTGCATCTATCGGAGAGCCACCTCTCTTTTGCCTCTCGAATTTTCTTTCTGATGTTTCTTTGAATTTCTTTGTATTTATTCAGGTCTTTTGCTTTATGTTTTCTTCGTTCTTCCATGAGTTCAAGAATTTCTACTGTCATCCAAGGTTTTGTTTTTTCTTTAAGTGGTTTGAGGGTTTCTTTTCCAACTGACACAAAGGCATGTTGAATTTTTCCCCATTTTTGGTCAACAGTTAGAGTTTCTGCATTATCTTCTTTGACTTTCCTTAAGCTCTCGTTTATTTTAAATTTGGTTTCCACATATGTGTTGTCTTGTAACAATCTTTAATAACTACATGTAGTTTAAAGGGTTTTTACCCTGGTATTTTGGTTTTTTTTGGCTCAGGCATTTTAACCTAGTAAGTATAACCATTTTTCTTTTTAACCCTAGTCAAAATTTTAAAAAACCACGTTTGCTTTAACTAAATGGTTTATACTTATTTAGGCAATTTTAAACCTGATGATGGACTGTTTAGTCCGAAAAGGTTTGTTTTTTTGATGTAGCCCGTTTAAAGGTTTTTAAATAAATATACCCATTTACGAAAATGTTCAAGTATTGACGAAGGTAGTTCATAAAAAGCTGGATGAGGTGACAGTTAATACGAGTTTAGACTGGATATGAAACGAGGTAGGCAATATTCAGTTTTTAGTACAATGAAACTGAGACTTAAATGAAGATATTTTCTTTGGTTTCTAGATTTGACCATGAAGTTTTGCATTTTATCTCCGCTCATACGTATTCCGTACTCGGAAGAATCTTTGAATTAACACTCAAGGATAATCCAATTGGAATAAAAATCACTCTATTATTAATAGGGGCAAATCCTATTAGTAATTTAGAGTACGCCGAATAAAAAGTTCTACTAGCAAGCAACAGTATTCAAGAAATGACTCGCCTGAACATAGATATTTTAGGATGCAGTGAAGTTCGATAGTCAAATTCTGGAATAAAAGTTATAGATGAACACCATATGTATTATTCTGTAGACGACACAACAAGAAAGAAAAATGGCGTAGCGATAGTAGTCAAAAGGGAAATAGTTAAAGCAGTAATAGGATTTACGCCCATATCAGACAGAGTTGTGCTATTGAAAATTAACTCGAGCTCCTCTAATATAAACATCATTCAGGAAGAAATAGAAAATTTCTAGAAGACTCTCTAAAACTGACCAAGAAACATGAAATTACTATTATATCATGGGCGATTTCAATGCCAAAATAGAACAATGTACAGTCAAGAATGTCGTGGGGGTCATATGGTCTTGGCATAAGAAACGAAAGAGGAGACAGACTGATCCAATTCTGCCAAGAGACGGATATTGTTGTAACGGATACACTTTTTAAATTACACCCAAGAAGGCTTCATACATGAAAAGCACCATGTGATATTCAAGGGACAATCATAAGAAACCAAATTGATTTTATCAACATAAACAAAAGGTTTAGAAATTCTATCACCTCAACAAAAACATATCCATGCGCAGATGTCTTCTCAGATCATAGTCTATTGGTTGCAATGATCAACATACGACTCAAAAAATTCATAAGAAAATAAGGTTCAAGATAAATATAAGACTACTAAAAGAAAATGACATACAGAAAAAAGTAAAAACAGAGATTAATAAGAATTTTACGAAAATAGTTAAAGAAACCACTAGAGGCATAGAAGAACAGTGGAACGAAATGAAGAAATCTATTATCACAATTTCGCATCAATATCAAAAAGAGAAAAGAATCAAGAATGGATGAGAGATAATATATCGAAAATGATGGAAGAGCGAAGAAAATTTAAAAAAAAATAGGGATAAAAGGAGCAAAAGAAGCAAGGCTGACGAAGAAATGTACAGAAATTGAAACACTACAACGCAAACATGATGATTTTCATATGCATAAAAAGTTAACGAGGCATAGAACACCAGAAAACAACGCAATACAGGCATAGTTGCAGACATTGAAGCTCAGATGTCGACTACCATTGCAGCACGAAGTCCCACTGAAATAAACAATCGCTACGGCTTAGAAATAACAAACAAAGAAGTAACTATGGCCATTAACCGGATTTAAGAAGGGAAATCACCAGGACCTGATGAGGTGCATG